GAATCCCTTTAAATGTAGTCAGTGTGACAGAGTCTTCACCCAGCGAAACTACCTTGTTCAGCATGAGCGAACTCATGCCAGAAAGAAGCCCTTGGTGTGTAATGAATGCGGGAAAACGTTCCGTCAGAGCTCGTGCCTTTCTAAGCATCAGAGAATTCACTCAGGTGAGAAGCCCTATGTATGTGACTACTGCGGGAAGGCCTTCGGCCTGAGTGCAGAGCTTGTCCGCCACCAGAGAATTCACACTGGAGAAAAGCCTTATGTTTGTCAGGAGTGCGGGAAAGCCTTCACCCAGAGCTCATGCCTTTCTATTCACCGGAGAGTTCACACTGGGGAGAAGCCCTACATATGTGGTGAATGTGGGAAAGCCTTTGCCCAGAAAGCAAATCTAACACAGCACCAGAGAATTCACACTGGTGAGAAGCCTTACTCCTGTAATGTATGTGGCAAAGCTTTTGGCCTCAGTGCCCATCTCAACCAGCACCTGAGAGTTCACACCCAGGAGACACTTTATCAGTGTCAACGTTGCCAGAAAGCCTTTCGGTGCCACTCGAGCCTCACCCGCCATCAGCGTGTACACAACAAGCAGCAATACTACCTGTAGCCATTGGGTGGCAGCAGAGTCCCAGAATATGAGACTGTTCATCCGATGTGGAAAGTTGGAAACCATCCATCCTATTGCAAGTTTCTCTCCAAATAAATACATCTAAAGATTGATTAGAAAGTTTGTGCACATGTGTTTCATTACAACAGTGAAAACACAAAAATGGAGAAGCTGTACAACGTCAGGATACAGAGGTAGGCTCTGGAGCCAGTCTACCTGAGTTAAGTTCCACCTCTGCCATCTACTACCTAAGTGACCTTGGGAAAGTCAGAAAAAATCTCTCAGGGCCTCGGTGTCCTCATCTGTAAAATGGGCATCACCTACCTCAGAGGGCTTTTCTGAGGATTAAATACATAAATGTGAAGCACTTAGAACTGATGGCCAGCACATGAGGGCTCACCAAGTGTAAGCCACAAATACACATCAGCCATAGCACAAATATACTCGTGTTATAAGAAAGGAATTAGTAATCTCTCTGTGTTTACTGTAGTTAATGTTCTTATAATGTATCGCTTTTAATTTAAGTTTTCCTTTTTTAAAGTTTTTCTCCAGCACCTTACTCTTCTTAAATTCCTGGCCTTTTGTGTCCCTTTATCTCTCTTTCCTGTTTTTTTTTTCTTAACCCCCAGAAAGCCAAAAAGAACATGTAAACTCCTAACCTCAACTAGCTACAACCTTCCACTCCTAACCTCCCAAGCCTCTCACTCAGAGAGGACTCCCTATCCCACAAACACATGCTTCCTCTTCCCATGACCTTCTTCCGTTTAACAGTGTTGGCTATGCAGTAAGACACCCAATTTGTCATGGGAGTTGACACCAAAACACAGCTGGATTCCTTCAGGAAAGCTGTGTTGATCAAGGTGTTAACTGCATATGAAACACAACCCATATGGAAGACATGCTTGGGGGTCAGACCTGTGGTACGTGGAAGTGACCGCTGGGATGTCATCATTCACTATTTATCCAAGACAGCCGCTCACCAGGCCATTTGCTAGGCTCGGGGGCGGGTGGTATCAATACACTATGCACTGCTACTACTCTGAAGCTTCTGGAATCAGAAATGAATGAACCCATTTTCATAGACGATTGCTGTTAGTTGACAAGTGACATCTTAAAAGTGCCCCATTCTTTCATGTCACAGGAAGTTCTGGGATCACCAAGGAGTGTTGGAGAGTCCAGTGAGATGGAGCCACACAACCAGTTCCCTCCTGACAGTGTCTTGTCAGCTCTGGGCGTCTGTGCCCTACCACTAAGTGGCTCAGTCACACATTTGCTGACACACAGTAGTCTTATGAAAAGCACTGGACACATACTTTCAATGCCTTTCAGATTTTAGGTGCTTCAAATGGTTAGGGGGTAAGTGCTCTGTACCCTTGGGCTCTTCAAGTCTTGCACCTGGAGTTCTGCTGGTTAAGTTTGTTAAACTTAGTTGAAACTGGGAACCTGTTGGCTAACCATTGGGCCCTTATGCTGTTTTTCAAATGGCTGCAACATTTAACTTCTTGCACATGGTTCCCGTCCTCTGGAGCTCTGTCTTGTCTGGGAGATGGGCATGTTACATACCAAAAGAGTGGACAAAGCGTTGCAGGGCTGGAACACAATGGGGACTCTGGAAAACTGGCAGCCATTGGGGGTGGGGGACAGTCTATAAATCAGTCACCTGTGTTGCTGCAGGCCAGGGTAGAAACGCCCTCCATGTGTGCATATTTGTTGGTTCTCTGATTAAAGTTTTGAATCTAAAAGCATTGATTCCTTCTCTCAGCCTGCTGCCATGCAGCCACGCATCAGTCCCTGCCTGCCAGGCCTCACGTCTTTGTGGGGGAGGGCTTCTGATGGTGATCATTGGCCAGTAAGAAACAGCTCCGTCTGTTTTCCCGCTGTCTGGGCGGGGCATGCGCCACTGAGGAGGCACACAAGTTCACCTGGTCCTCAGATGCATCATCAAACACCACCTTTCAGTCTTTGTGTGAGCCTAAGTCATCAAGGAGAGAGCGCAGGCAGCCTGCAGTTCACTCTACACAGACACGCCAGGCCCCAGGCTTGGGGAGTGTTTCTAATTAGCATCCAATAATACACATAACATTGCTTAGTACTTTTTGTCCCCACCTTTTTCCTTTAGTGACAAGTGACAAGAGATACTAGTTTCCTGCTCATGGTAGTAATAGAAAGTTGTCATTTTTTTTGATAAAAGTGAGCTGATCGGGCCGAGTGTGGTGGCTCATGCCTGTAATCCCAGCACTTTGGGAGGCCTAGGTGGGAAGATGACTTGAGCCCAGGAGTTCGAGACCAGCCTGAACATGATGAAACCCTGTCTCTACAAGAGAAATATGCAAATTAGCTGGGTGGTGACCACTGATCACTTAAAAATGATTAAAATGGCAAACTGTATATTTTTACCGCAATTTAAAAACATTTACATAAAGTACTACATTTTTAAAGTTTGTGTGGTAGGCTGGGTGTGGTGGCTCATGCCTGTAATCCCAGCACTCTGGGAGGCTGAGACAGGTGGATTGCTTGAGCTCAGGAGTTTGAGACCAGCCTGGGCAGCATGGTGAAACCCTGTGTCTACAAAAATTACAGCTGGGTGTGGTGGCACATGCCTGCACTCAAGCTACTAGGGAGACCGAAGTGGGAGAATCGCAAGCCTGGGAGGTTGAGGCTGCAGGAAGCTGTGATCATGCCACTCTACTCCAGCTTGGGCGACAGAACAAGATCCTGTCTCCGAGTAAAGCAAAAAAATGTGACTGGAAAAAGAAATGAACTACAGGAGCCTAAACCAAGCAAGGCTAAGATGGCAAAACCCAGCACCTCTGAGGCTGGTGCGAAGACAAGCTCAAACGAGGTCAAGGTATAAAGCAGCAGCAGAGTCTTCTAGGGCCAAGGTCTCCCCCAACATTTCAGAGGTGGGGACCCCTTGTCGGAACTGATACCCCAGCTAAATTCCAGCTTGACCTCTGGAAGGGCTGGAGATTAAGGTCAGTCAGGGTGATCAGCCTTGTCAACATAACCAACCTCATAACCCTACGTACCAAGGCGTGGATGAGCTTCTCTGGCAACACTTTGTGTGTTGTCACACGTTATTGTTGAGTGCATTAAGTGCTCTCCATATGACTCTACTGGCAGAGGACACCTGGAAGCTCACGCCTAGTCTCTCCTAGACTCCATCCTTTGCATCTTTTCCCATGGCTGATTTTAATCTCTATTTTTAGCTGTAATAAATGCAACCAAGTATAGCAGCTTTGCTGAGTTTTGTGAGCCCTTCTAATGAATTACTGAACCTGAGGGTCCACTGCCCTCTCTGAGACTGTTTCTCCAGTGGACTCAAGAATGATACTCGGTTTAAGGGTTCTCAAAACGAGCATCAGCGGGTTCTGCCCACGCCGGCCCCATGGGCTAAATTCTCTAATAACCACCTCCCTTCCCCGCCTACTCCAGCCAATCATTGCGCTGACTCGGCTCCTGGCCACACCCTAACCCCGCCTCCGCTGCTTCGAAACCCGTCCCAAGCCCTGCAGCCCCATAGGCTGCCGCCAGATTCTCGAGCCCCTTTACCTTTCGGTGGCCTAAATCCCTGACTGCTCGGGGCCACTCTTCAGGCCAAAATGGGCCCAAAATGAGGAGGGCAAGTGATGAATGTAACTAGACAGTCGGGCCCTCAAGGACCTGGCAACTGGAGGCTTGGACCTCGGGTCGGCTTCCCACGCGAAGCTTGCTCCCCACCTGCATCCGCACGTTGGTGGAGACGCTGCCCCGGCCCCACGGATGCCTCTGCGCATGTCAGACTCCCTGATGAACTACCCTTCCCAGAATCCCGCGGGAGCTGCTTAGGGCGACGGTCCTCTGATGGCCGATGCGGGAGAAACCCTGGCGTCAGGCGGCCCTCGAGTGGGGCACACGAAGTCGGGGCTTATTCTGGCTTCAGTATGCGGGGTGGAGAAGGCGATCCACGAGGCTGCCTCTGTTTCCTATGGATCAATCGCAGAAATCGTTCTGTAAGCCCCGCCCCCACTGCGTGCGGGCGGCTTTTGTCTCCATGGCAACCGCCAACTCTGGGAACGCCTGTTTTTCTCCATGGCAACTGTCTACGCCGCAGGCTGGGGCCGCCCATTACCGGAGCCTTTAAGCAGTATGGGTGCTGGACAAACAGCGTGATCGGGTCGTAAAACTTGATGGAACGAATATTAGAGCACAAGGAAGAAAAAACCGGGCTAGGTGGGACTGAAATAGTTGATGTGAGGGAAGATTTCTCAAAGGAGGGAGCCTATTTTTTTGTTGTTTGTTTTTTACTTTTAGTTTTTCAAGACGGGGTCTCTGTTGCCCAAGCTGGAGCACAGTGGCACGATCTCGGCTCACTGCAACCTCCGCCTTCCGGATTCAAGCGATTCTCCTGCTTCAGCCTCCCGAGTGGCTGGGATTACAGGCGCCCGCCACCACGCCTGGCTAATCTTTTGTATTTTTAGTAGTATGAGAAATGGGAAAGTTCTTCTTCAAAGATTATAAAAAGTCACAATTTCTTACTATAAGATTGCTATCCACTATTATATATTCCAAATCAGCTGTCCTAGCTTGCTTTGGCATGCCTGGACAGAACTAGACAAGCCCCAGCCCATAGTGCATAGTCAAGGAAACATCCTTAACTATCCCTGGGTAACTTCCTTTTCTTTCTTTGTTCTGTTCCCCTTACCCAATTAAAAAAGTTTTAAACTAATAGCCAAACGGGTAAAGTGTAAAATGTGAGGTCCCATTCCAGCTAATGGAAACTGGACACAACAGTAGGGTGGATGCCTCAGGTTATAAGTAACTCTGTCTCGTTTCTTCGGTGGGGTCTCATGGCTGGACAGCTATTGAGTAGCACCCTTTCTGCAAAAAGTAAAGCTTGCCTTGCTGAGACATTATTTGTTCCCGCATTCTTTCTTTCTTTCTTTTTTTGTTTTGCGACACCAAAAGCTTCATTCCCAACAGCAGAGACGGGTTTCCACCATGTTGCCCAGGCTGGTCGCCAACTCCTGACCTGAGGTGATCCACCCGCCTCGGCCTCCTTAAGTGCTGGGATTACAGGTGTGAGCCACCACTCTTGGCCCAGGAGGCGACCTTTGAATAAGGCTTTGAGGGATGAGCAGGAGGTTGCCTGGAAGAGAAGGGAAAATATAGTCTATCTAGAGATCTGGCCAAAATTAAAAGTCTTAACGAGGGTGTGGGGAAACCGCCATTCTCCTACCCTGCTGGTAGGGAGAGGAATGTCTTCAGTCTTTGAAGAAGTAAATCAGTCAGCGGGTGACTGCTGAGAACCTTGTGTATACTGGGAAGTGCTCCAGACACTAGGGATACAGCGGGGAAAGATATACAGGGGGGCAGGCAGTAACCACGAGACATATGATTGGAAATTGTAAGTGCTGTGAAGTAGGCCAGGTGTGATGGCTGACACCTGCAATCCCAGCACTTTGGGAGGCCGAGGTGGGTGGATCACTTGAGGCCAGGAGTTTGAGACCAGCCTGTCCAACATGGTGAAACCCCACCTCTACTAAAAATACAAAAATTAGCCAGGCGTGGTGGCCAGCGCCTGTAATCCCAGTTACTCAGGAGGCTGAGGCAGGGGAATCACTTGAACGTGGGAGGCAGAGGTTGTAACCGAGCCGAGGTCACACTACTGCCCTCCAACCTGGGTCACAGAATGAGACTCCATCTCAAAAAAAAAAAAGTGCTGTGAAGTAAACAGGCAGGGGCTGAGATAGGAATGAAGGAGGGACTGTGGGATCAAGAAACAGAATTCTTTGAGAACATAGTGTGAAATAACATAAATAATATCAACTTCAAGAGAAATGTAGAGGAATACTATGAATTGCAGCTGGAATCTGCCCTAAATGTATATTTCTTCTTCCTGGTGTCTGTGACACTTTGAGTTGGGGTTTTCTTTTAGTTTCTTGAGTGTCTTGCTTTTGATGCTTTTAGCTACTCAAGCCAGTAAATTATCGTTCTTGTTAGAGCTGTGTGAGAGGTGGTCAAGTTCAACATTTGAAGGAAGAGTTGAGAGATTCACTGAATGGGAGAGAGGGATAAGAAAAACATACCTTCTTTCTGTTTAGGTTTCTAAGGTGATAGGAGGTAAGCCTGGAGCTGCTGGTGGCCACCTTGCCACCATGGGGGGAGAACCTGCCAGAAAATGAACCTAACCAAAAAGGAAGCTAAACTAAGAGGAGTGACCAGATTACTGACATGTCACTTAAGCACCTGGATCTATCTGTTCCTGAAGGCAAAACTGTTCAATTACACAGGCTAATAAATTCCCTTTCTTTCTTAAGCAAGCAGAATAGTCTTGGCTGGAAATGAATCTCTACCAGAAATTATTTAAAAATCCAGATGGATCGATGGCCGGGCGCGGTGGTTCACACCTGTAATCCCAGCACTTTGGGAGGCCGAGGCGGGTAGATCACGAGGCCAGGAGATCAAGACCATCCTGGCCAACATGGTGAAACCCCGTCTCTACTAAAAATACAAAAATTAGCCGGGCGTGGTGGCGGGCGCCTGTAATCCCAGCTACTCGGGAGGCTGAGGCAGGAGAATGGCTTGAACCCAGGAGGCGGAGCTTGCAGTGAGCCGAGATCGCGCCACTCACTGCAGTCTGGGTGACAGAGCGAGACTCCGTCTCAAAAAAAAAAAAAAAAAAATCCAGATGGATCAAAGTTTTCATTGTGAAAAAAATCATAAAAGTACTAGATTAAAATATAGCAGAACTTTTTTTTATAATCTTGGGGGTGAGGAAAGCCTTTGTTAGCATGATAGTAGATCCAAGAACTATAAAAGAAAATACAGATAGATTTAAAAATTTAAATTTAAATCTAAAAATTCAAAACTCTGTATGACAAACGTGAACAAAATTGAAGAGAAACTGGGAGAAAATATTAGTCACTTATACACCAAAGTGTTAATATGCGTAATATATAAGGACTTGTCATTATAAATCAATACAAAAAGGCTTCTCAAGTAAAAATGGGCAAAATACATAAATAGGCAATTTACAGAATACAAAACATCAATTAATGCATAAAAAGATAATCTCACAACCAAGAGGACATTTTTACCTATCAGATTAAAATTGCTTTAAAAAATGACCAATACCAAGTATTTGAGAAGGAAGTAAAGGAACAGAGAAATAGTCACTCATATATACTTCCAGGAGTTATGCAAATTGTTTCACCCCTTTTGGAGGACTACTTAGTAATAACTATGAAAAATTTAAATGTAGGTGTTCTGTGATCCCACAAGTACACTTGCAGGAATTCGTTTTGTACATAAGTCAAATAATAAATATCCAATGATGGAAAAGAAAATGAAAACAACTTAAATATCCATCAATAGGGATTGCTTAAACAAATTAAAGAAACCCTAGCATGAAATATTACGCAGCCGTGAAAAATGAAGATACCTATGTATGTATATATTTTTGTGTAATATGTACAACATGTATATATTTTGATAGTATATATATATTATCATGGGAAAGTATCCACATTATATCAAGTGAGAAAAGCAACTTCTTAAAATTATGTTTGCATGTAGTTATGCCATATACACCATACATATGTGAATATATATACATATAAAATCAGTTTTATAAAAACAGAAAGGGAGATTTCATATTTATAGAAAAAGTAGGAGGTCTTTGGAATGAAGGGGGTTTTTTTTTAAAAAACAGATTTTGCTCGTTGCCCAGGCTAGAGTACAATGGCACAATCTCAGCTCACTGCAACTCCTGTCTCCCAGGTTCAAGCAATTCTCCTACCTCAGCCTCCCAAGTAGCTTAGATTACAGGCACGCACCACCACACCCAGCTAATTTTTTATTTTTAGTTTTAGTAGAGACAGAGTTTCACCATGTTAATCAGGATGGTCTCGATCTCCTGACCTCAGGTGATCCACACGCCTCGGCCTCCCAAAGTGCTGGGATGACAGGCGTGAGCCACCACACTCGGCCTGGAACAAAGATTTACAGGGCACTAAAGATTTCTTCATTTTTGTATCATCTGAATTATTCACGATGAATATCACTTCAATCATTAAAGAAGCCACAAAAGATTAGGAGAAATACCTGGACAATGACTTTAAAATACGATAATAGCACAGAAGACGGCTAGTGAGACACAGCCCCATATATTCACAGAAGTTCCAGCTGATACAGAACTTCTGGCAACCCACTGGCAACATACTCGAGGTCACAGAAATCCTCTCCCTGTGGCCCCATGACCTCACTGCCAGGATTTCACCTGGGAAATGGTTAGGCACTCATCCCTTTCATAAAAGGGATGTTCCATACTATACATATATAAGTCAAAAGTGGCCGGGCGCGGTGGCTCATGCCTGTAATCCCAGCACTTTGGGAGGCCGAGGCGGGCAGATCACGAGGTCAGCAGATCGAGCCCATCCCGGTTAACACGGTGAAACCCTGTCTCTACTAAAAATACAAAAATTAGCCGGGCGTGGTGGCAGGTGCCTATAGTCCCAGTTACTCAGGAGGCTGGGGTGGGAGAATGGCGTGAACCCGGGAGGTGCAGGTTGCAGTGAGCTGAGATCGCGCCACTGCACTCCAGCCTGGGCAACAGAGCGAGACTCCATCTAAAAATAAATAAATAAATAAATAAATAAATAAATAAATAGTCAAAAGCTAGAAACAACAGCAAAACTCCTTCTCTAAATAAATAAAATAAATAGTCAAAAGCTAGAAACAACAGCCTGGGCAACAGAGCGAAACTCCTTCTCTAAATAAATAAATAAATAAATAAATAAATAAATAAATAAATAGTCAAAAGCTAGAAACAACTAAAATGTCCAACAAGGGACTGGATAATATGTTGACTGAATATGCATAAGCTACGTGAAACGGCAAAACATCAGGTCGTTAAAGGTGACTTAATGATATGTTAAATAGCTGACACTCATTGCTATAAAAACATATTGCATCCATGGGCCACGTGCCCAGCCGTGGCACGTAGGTCAAGTTCAGCCCTTTGGACGGCAATATGGCAACATGTGTGAGGAAATCAGGAAAATGGCTGGAGCCTTGGTTCCCATCATTGCCACTGTGGGAATTTTACTTTGAGGAATAATCACCCCAAAGGGAGAGACGAGGTGAGCATGGACATGTTCATTATAATATTATTTGTAATTGGGATAACTGGTGAATAACCCGTCAGTCAAAAGCTTAAAGAAGAATCTAAATGGAGAATGGATTTGTAAATTACACCTTCTCAATGGCATATCATTATCCTTAGTAATGATAAAAGCATATGGGACAGTGACAATGCTCATGGCATAATGATGGCAAAAATGGTCTCTACATGGTGATTACAATGAAATAAACTTATATTTGTTTAAAAGATTTGAAAGGAAATATAAAAAATAAAAACAATATGACTTCCAAGGATGGCCAAATTGTCAGCGACAGCTTTTATGGTTTTGACCCAAAATTTCTGACAATAAGGATATGGGATATAGATTTAAAAAACCATAAAGAGGATGGGTGCAATGGCTCTTGCCTGTAATCCCAACACTTTGGAAGGCCCGGGCGGGTGGATCACGCAGGAGTTCAAGACCAGCCTGGCCAGGATGGTGAAACCCCATCTCTACTAAACCTACAAAAATTAGCCGGGTGTGGTGGCAGGTGCCTATAATCCCAGCTACTTGGGAGGCTGAGGCAGGAGAATCACTTGAACCTGGGTGGCAGAGGTTGCAGTAGAGATAATGCCACTGCACTCCAACCTGGGAGTTGGAGTTTTTGAGACTCCATCTCAAAAAACAAAAAACATAAAGAAACACACCCAAGAATGACTGGCGAGTCTCTCTGAGCTGCAGAATTACAGGGAATTTGTCTTTTATTTCATACTTCTTCACACTTTCCAAATTATCCTTAATGATGAGCGTATGGTATTTCACTAAAATTTTTTCTGTTATAAAAATATATGGCTGGGCACGGTGGCTCACGCCTGTAAATCCCAGCACTTTGGGAGACTGAGGTGGGCGGATCATGAGGTCAGGAGTTCGAGACCAGGTTGGCCAATATGGTGAAACCCCATCTCTACTAAAAATACAAAAATTAGCTGGGCATGGTGGCGCACACCTGTAGTCCCATCTACTTGGGAGACTGAGGGAGAAGAATTGCTTGAACCTGGGAGGCAGAGGTTGCAGTGAGCCGAGAGCTTGCCATTGCACTCCAGCCTGGGAGACACAGCAAGACTCCGTCTCAAAAAAAAAATTAAAAAAACCCAAACATATATATACACACACACACACACACACACACACACACATATATAATTATTAAATTAGAAATAAAACTATGTTTTAAAAATATGATTAAAAGTCTCCCCTTGGGAGGCAGGGCCTGCAGTGAGCCAAGATCGCGCCACTGCCCTCCAGTCTGGGCGACAGAGCGAGACTGTGTTTCAAAAAAATAATAATAAAAAATCTCTCCTTGGTCATGAATAAATAGTGATGCTTAAGAACATGATGCTTAATAGAACAATCACTTTGCAGGCCAGGCACGGGAGCTCACACCTGTAATCCCAACACTTTTGGAGGCCGATGGAGGAGGATCACATGAGGCCAGGTGTTTGAGACCAGCCTGGCCAACATGGTGAAACCCCACTTCTACCAAAAATACAAAAATTAGCTGGGAGTGGTGGCAGATGCCTGTAATCCCAGCTTCTTGAGAGGCTAATGTAGGAGAATCGCTTGAACCCTGGAGGTGGAGACTGCAGTAAGCTGAGATCACGCCACTGCACTCCAGCCTGGTAACAGAGCAAGATTCCGTCTCTAAATAAATAAATAAATAAAATAAAAGAGCAATAGCTTTGTAAAGTGTAGATCCTGGAAACATAATAAACAGAAACAATAGGACATTAAAAATGTCTATAAATATGTGAAACATATTTATATTTATATCCATATTTATATGAAACATTTATTGTTTAAGCCAACTGCAGATTCTGATATTTGTACCTTAAAGTTTTAAAGAAAACTAAAAATGTTACTTTAAAGGGTTAATCTTTACAGCTGTCTTCCCCCACTGAATATTCAGGCTCCAATTTAAGGAAGGATGAATCAGTTTAAAAAGCTTGGAGAGGCCAGGCGCGGTGGCTCATGCATGTAATCCCAGCACTTTGAGAGGCCGAGGTGGGTGGATCATGAGGTCAGGAGATCGAGACCATCCTGGCTAACACGGTGAAACCTCGTCTCTACTAAAAATACAAAAAATTAGCTGGATTAGCCAGGCGTTGTGGTGGGCGCCTGTAGTCCCAGCTACTTGGGAGGCTGAGGCAGGAGAGGAGAATGGCATGAACCGGGAGGCGGAGCTTGCAGTGAGCCGAGATCGTGCCACTGCACTCCAGCCTGGGCGACAGAGTGAGACTCTGTCTCAAAAAAAAAATAATAATAAAACAAAAAAATTAGCTGTGCGTTGTGGTGGGCGCCTGTAGTCCCAGCTACTTGGGAGGCTGAGGCAGGAGAATGGCATGAACCGGGAGGCGGAGCTTGCAGTGAGCCGAGATCGTGCCACTGCACTCCAGCCTGGGCGACAGAGTGAGACTCTGTCTCAAAAAAAAAAAAAAAGCTTGGAGAGAGCTGTTGTTGGTGAAGGTCCCAGATGAAATGGCATCCCTTTTGGACCACCCCCTAACTATACCACGACCTAGGGACATGGCAGCATGGAGGAAATACGCAAGGGAAGCCCCTGGAATGATCAGAACCTGTCCCAGTTAGTGAAAAACTGTGCCACCTTCCCTCTAGGGAACAAAGGAACAAACCATCTCAACATATGGCGCCAGCATCCTTCTCTGGGGAGTTCCTAGTGTTGATGAAGAGCAGATTGCCAAAAGGCCGTTTATGCACCTGGATCCATCTGTTCCTGAAGGCAACATTTTTCTTAAGGTTCCTAGTGTTGATGAAAGTGGGATGGAACCCAACAGCAGGACAGCCGGCTCATTACACACTCAGGTTGTCTTGTCAGCATGAGTTCTCTGATGATCGGCAAGCTGTGTGCCCCAAGCAAAGGCTTTCTCAAAATCATCACAGAGGTAGGCATCCTGGCCAGTGTGAAGCCTCCGGTGTTCAGTCAGGTGTGAACTCCAGCTGAAACCCTCTCCACACTCCTCACATGCGTAGCGTTTGCTGCCATTGTGGACCTTCTGATGTTGGAGAAGGTGTGAGATCTGGGTGTAGGTTCTCCCACAGTCGCTACACTTGTAAGGCTTCTCTCCAGTGTGAATCCTTTGGTGTTGGATTAAGTGGATGCTCTGGTTGAAGGCCTTCCCGCATTCCTTGCAGGCGTAGGGCTTCTCGCCGGTGTGAATCCTCTGATGTTGAGTGAGGGAGGAGTTGTGACTGAAGGTTTTCCCACACTCCTTACACTTATAGGGCTTCTCACCAGTGTGGATCTTCTGGTGCTCAATGAGGTGCGTGCTCCGGCTGAAGGCTTTCCCACATTCGCTGCACTCGTAGGGCCTCTCTCCGGTGTGAATCCTCTGGTGTTGAATGAGGTGGGAGATCTGGGTATAGGCTTTCCCACACACTTTACATTCGTAGGGTTTCTCCCCCGTGTGAATCCTCTGGTGGCGTGTGAGGGAGGAGTTCTGGCTGAAGGTTTTCCCACACTCGGTACATTTGTAGGGCTTCTCGCCGGTGTGGATGGTCTGATGCTGAGTGAAGGATGAGGTGTGGCTGAAAGCCTTCCCACATTCATTGCATACGTAGGGCTTTTCCCCCACGTGAGTGCTCTGGTGCCTCATGAGGTGGGAAATCTGCGTGTAAGCCTTCCCGCACTCGTGACACGCGTAGGGCTTCTCGCCGGTGTGAATTCGCTGGTGCTGAGCCAGGGACGAGCTGTGGCTGAAGGCTTTGCCACACTCAGTGCACTCATAGGGTTTTTCTCCAGTGTGGACTCGCTGGTGCTGAGTCAGGGACGAGCTGTGGCTGAACGTTTTCCCACACTCGTTACATTTGTAGGGTTTCTCCCCGGTGTGGATGGTCTGGTGTTGGGTGAGGGAGGAGGTGTGACAGAAGGCCTTGCCGCACTCTCTGCATTCGTAGGGCTTCTCCCCCGTGTGGATTTTCTGGTGGCGGGTGAGATGGGAGACCTGCGAGTAGAACTTCCCACACTGGCTGCATTTGTAGGGCTTCTCCCCGGTGTGGCACCGCTGGTGTTTGATGAGGGATGAGCTCTGTGTGAAGGCCTTCCCGCAGTCCCTGCATTTGTAGGGCTTCTCCCCGGTGTGGCACCGCTGGTGTTTGATGAGGGATGAGCTCTGTGTGAAGGCCTTCCCGCAGTCCCTGCATTTGTAGGGCTTCTCTCCGGTGTGAATCCTCTGATGCTCGGTGAGCGAAGAGCTCTGAGTGAAGGTCTTGCCACATGCGTGGCAGGCGTAGGGCTTCTCGCCTGTGTGGATGATGTGGTGCTGAATGAAATACGAGCTGTTGCTGAACGCCTTCCCGCAGTCATGGCACTTGTAGGGCTTCTCCCCGGTGTGAATTCGCTGATGGAGAATATAGTCCGAATGGTAAATGAAGGCTTTCCCGCATTCCATGCAGTTCAATGGTTTCTTCTCCACGAAGGTCCTTTGGCTTTTCAAGCTCTTCCAGGGTCTGCCCCACTTCCGGGGCCTGTCTCCACGGGGCACTCGTTGCTTCCTCATGAGGGCGGAGGCCTGCCAGAGGCTTCTCTCAAGCTCGTTACATCCAAGGCCTTTCTCCCCCAAGGTGTCTCCCTTGGAAGTAGCAAATAAACACGTCAGATGCCTCTCCTGCTTTCTTGGGTCCTCCAGTGGATAGTGACATGCCAAGGGTTTCCCCGCCTGGGCATCTGCAAGCACAGCCCTTGAAAGTCCCTCTACTGGGGAAGCCGAATCTTCAGAAATGCTCTTTTTTCGAGGTGTCTCTAGAATAGTCACAGAGTTCGTCTCCAAGTCTGAAAGAAATGGAAAATACCAACACCATCTGTCCCAGGACAAAGCAAGCTGATTACTTGGAAGTGGCAGTGTAAACCTAAAAAAAAAAAAAAAAAAAAAAAGGTTTCAAATTTGTTTTTGCTTTTTTTTTTTTTTTTTTTTTTTTTTTGGGAGAGTTTCTCTCTGTTGCCTAGGCTGGAGTGCAGTGGCGCCATCTCCACCTCCTGGGTTCAAGCAATTCTCCTGCCTCAGCCTCCCGAGTTGCTGAGACTACAGGCACCCGCCACCACGCCTGGCTAATTTTTTGTATTTTTAATAGAGATGGGGTTTCACCATATTGGCCAAGCTGGTCTCAAACTCCTGACCTCGTGATCCGCCCACCTCGGCCTCCCAAAGTGCTGGGATTACAGGCATGAGCCACAGCGCCCAGTCAATGTTGCTATTTTGAAAGGCATGGTGTACGTAGATTGATTCATGTTCTGACACGGAAGGATAGTCTCAATACACTCTAAAAATGAAGACAACCAAGTTGCAAACAGTTTATGTACACTGAGTTGCGTAGCCATGCTATAGAGTACATTTTTTTACAAATCAATATGAAAAATGATAGAAAAAAATCTAAGAAAATAGAGAGGCAAGAATATGAGTAGACAATTCACAGAAGAAAAGTAAGAGGCTGATAAATACATGTTTAGATGCTGAACGTCAGCAATAGTCAAAACAATCAAATCATTAGGATGCTATTTTACCCATTTTAGATAGGAAAATATTAAAGATATCCAGTGTTGCCAAGGGAGCATGGCACAGATCTTCTCACACTATATTTGTAGGAATGTGCAAGAAAAGAGTGAATAGAAGGTCCATCTCACGCAGTGGTTTTTTTTTTTTTTTTTTTGAGACAGAGTCTTGCTCTGTTGCCCAGGCTGGAGTACAATGGCATTATCTCAGCTCACTGCAACTTCCATCTCCCAGGTTCAAGCCATTCTCCTGCCTCAGCCTCCTAAGTAGCTGGGACTACGGGCATGTGCCCCCCCCCCCAGCTGGTAAAATTTTTTTTTTTTTTGGATTTTTAGTAGAGATGGGGTTTCACCATGCTGGCCAGGCTGGTCTCGAACTCCTGACCTCAAGTCATCTGCCTCCCTCGGCCTCCCAAAGTGCTAGGATTACAGACATCAGCCACTGCGCCCAGCCCATCTCACTCAGTCTTTGTCTCTGCAGACATGGCAATGACCCTTGGCCAATCTCTGGGAACTAAAGTCCCGGGATGTTTACAAAGGTGCTGGGTCAGATGTTCTTCCATATGCTTAAGACCACCGGTCAAGATGTAGTAGGTTGTCAGCATTGTTGACTGTAAATAGGAAGATGCATGATGGGCACCTGGTACCTGGATTGGGGTCCTCACCGTGGCTGGTCGTGTAGCAGGTATGTGCATACGTGACCAACTCTCTTCAAGAACTCTGGACTGTAAGACTCCAAGTGAGCTTCCCCGGGTGGAGACACCTCATACATGTGTCTGTGGTTTTGCATTGGTATAAAAAAGCACATCCGTGTGACCCGCACAGGGAAAGGGAGGGCTGGAAACCTGTGTATGACCTCTCTTGCCTTTGTTAGTTCCTACTGTTCCTGTGTTACAAACTTTGCTGTAAACCGTCAATACAACTTGCCAAGTCATGTGACTCCTTCCAGAAAATTGCCAAACCAGTGGGTGGTTGTGGGACCCCCAACGCAGAGACATGACAACTAAATGGTATGTGAGATTTCTGAAATTATCCTTTTGTCATTGGATTAGGCAATGGTATCTTAGATATGATGTCACAATCACAAAGCAACACAAGCAAAATAGATAAACTGGACACTGTCAAAATTAAAACCTAGGTCGGGCACATTGGCTCACACCTGTAATCCCAGCACTTTGGGAGGTCCAGGTGGGTGGATCACTTGAGCTCAGGAGTTCAAGAACAGCCTGGGTAACACGGCTGAACCCTGTCTCTACCAAAAATACAAGAATTAGGTAGTGATGGCACACGCCTGTGGTCCCAGCTACTTGGGAGGCTGAGGTGGGAGGATCATCGAAGCCCTGGAGGTTGAGGCCACAGTGAGCCATGACTGCACCACTGCACTCCAGCCTGGGTGACAGAGTGAGACCCTGTCTCAAAAATAATAATAATTTAAAAATGTAAACCTTTGTGCTTCAAAGACACTAACAAGAAGTAAAAAGACAACTAATAGAATGGGAGAAAATTTTTTCCAATCAGATGTCTGATAAAGAACTTGTTTCTAGAATATATAAAGCATACTTACAACTCTCCTCTCTCTATACACACACACACACACACAACTCTCCTCTCTCTATACACACACACACACACACACACACACATATATATATATATTTTTGAGACACAGTCTCGCTCTGTACCCCAGACTAGAGTGCAGTGGCACGATCCCGGGTCACTGCAACCTCCGCCTCCCAGGTTCAAGCATTCTCCTGCCTCAGCCTCCCAAGGAGCTGGAATTACAGGCACCCGCCACCACGCCCAGCTAATTTTTGTATTTTTAGTAGAAACGGGGTTTCACCATGTTGGCCAGGATGGTCTCAATCTCTTGACCTCAGGATCCACCCGCCTCAGTCTCCCAAAGTGCTGGGATTACAGGCGTGAGCTACCACACCCGGCCACAACTCAATATTTTTAAAAATTCAATTAAAAAGGGCAAGGTTCTCAATAGTCATTTCTTTAAAGATACACGAATGGCCAATAAGTACATGAAAAGATACTCAACATCATTAGACATCAAGGAAAATAAAATGAAAATCATGAGATTCCACTTCACACTCACTAGTTGCATAATAAAAAAGACGGATAATAACAAGCATTGGTGAGGATGTGGAGAAATCAGAGCCCTCACACACTGCTGGTGGGAATGTAACATGGTACAGCCACTTTGGAAAATAGTCTGGCAGTTTCTCAAAAGGTTAAACATAGAATTACCCTATGATTCAACAATTCCACTCCTAGGTATCTACCCAAAAGAAATGAAAACATGCATTCACACAAAAACTTGTGCATGAATGTTCATAGAAGCATGATTCATAATAGCCAAAAAGAAGAAATAACTCAATGTTCACCAACTAATGAATAAACCAATTGTGGCACATTCATACAATAAAATATTATTCAACCACAAACAGGAATGAAGCTCTCATACATAATGCAATGTGAATGACTCTTAAAAATATTATGCTAGGCCGGGCGCAGTGGCTCATGCCTGTAATCCCAGCACTTTGGGAGGCCGAGGCGGGTGGATCACAAGGTCAGAAGTTCGAGACTAGCCTGGCCAACATGGTGAAATTCTGCCTCTACTAAAAATACAAAAATTAGCCAGGTGTGGTGGCAGGCGCCCATAATCCCAGCTACTTGGGAGGCTGAAGCAGGAGAATTGCTTGAACCCGGGAGGCGGAGGTTGCAGTGAGCCGAGATAGTGCCACTGCACTCCAGCCTGGGTGACAGAGTGAGACTCCATCTCAAAAAAAAAAAAATTCTATCTATCTATCTATGAAGAAAGAAAGAACATACTTGAAGGAATTCCATTAAAATGTCAAAAGTTAATTTTTGGGAGACATGAGGATTATGGGGGATTTTCATTCTTGCTTTATTCTTATTTAGATGTTCAAAGTTTCATTTATTCCTCCCAACCCTAGATACTCATGTCACCCCCTTTTCACAGACAAAAAAAATCAAAGCACAGAGAGGCTAAGTGACTTGCCCAAGGCCACACAGCCAGGAAGCAATCAGCTGGGATTTGAACCACACAACCCAACTCTAGAGCCCATGATGATCACTCATGTGTTCCACTGCCTCATCCCTGACTGAACCTCACTGACCATGAGAGATGGGGTGGGAAGAGGGCTTACACCTGCTGGATATCAGCACCCACCTGGACAGGTAACTCGCCAGGCCTCTCTCTCCTCCGGCCTCGGCTCTTCCCCTCGCTCCAGACGGGAGATCACGTCGGGTTTGGACCCAGGCAGCCCTGCCCCTGGGGAAAGATACAAGAGTTGGCTGTGGGTGCTAGGATCACAGGGAGGTCTGCAGGGAAGGTGCATGCATTGAGTGCCTAATGGTTAGAAGCACAAATGGCCAACGCAAGACTTATTTTTTGAGTGCTTAGTACACTGCAGAGAGGCTGAGCTCTGACAAGGCTATTTAAGGCTCCAGGTCTGTGCTGTTCAAGTTAACTGCACTGTGACAGCGTAAAAAACATTGTCTTCTATGTTTCGAAGACTTAGTAAAGAAAAAAACCGTAAAATCTCTCAATCATTTGTTAATCGATTATGGTTTCAGTGTGTCAAGATGATACGATTTTAGATAGCTTGAGGTGAATAAAATGTATTGTTAAAATTAATTTCATTTCCTTTTTTTTTTTAACATGACCACCAAAAAATGTAAAATTACCCAAGTGGGTTTCTTATTTCTGATGGATAACTCTGTTTTAGATTCACTGGTGCCCAAAGCTTCCATCTCAAGACTTCTAAATACATAAGTTAAAAACATACGCATTTTTTTTTTTTTTTGGAGACAGGGTCTCGCTCTGTTGCCCAGGCTGGAGTGTGGTGGCGTGATCAAGGCTCACTGCAGTCTCGACCTCCTGGGCTCACGTCATCCTCCCACCTCAGCCTCCTGAATAGCTGGGACTACAAGCATACACCACCATGCCTGGCTCATGTTCAAATTTTTTGTAGAGATGGGGTCTCACTCTGTTACCCAGGCTGATCTCGAATTTCTGGGCTCAAGTGATCCACCCACCCTGAACGTTTCCTTTTTTTTTTTTTTTGAGATGGAGTTTCATTCTTGTTGCCCAGGCTGGAGTACAACGGTGTGGTCTCAGCTCACTGCAACCTCCGCCTCCTGGGTTGAAGCGATTCTCCTGCCTCAGCCTTCCAAGTAGCTGGGATTACGGGTGCCCGCTACCATGCTCGGCTAATTTTTTATATTTTTAGTAGGAATGGGGTTTCAGCATGTTGGCCAGGCTGGTCTTGAACTCTTGGCCTCAGGTGATCTGCCCACCTTGGCCTCCCAAAGTGCTGGGATTACAGGCATGAGCCACTGCACCCGGCCTGAACGTTTTCATTTTGATGAAACTGTCTTGAATCACTGTAGACAAACCTACCATCCCTGATTATAACATGAGATAATTACAACAATAGTTAGAGTGATACTAAAAAGCAAATATCTATTAAGGGCAGACTGCGTGCCAGGCATGTTTCTAAGCTGGTTAAATGTATTAGCTCATTTTCACCCTTCGGGCAGGAAACCGAGGCATAGTCTAGTGTTGTGTGAGCAGGAATGGAAGAAACACACAACACCGCAGGAAGTCACAGAGGGTGGAGAAATCAAAGGAAACTTCTTGGAGGAGGCGAGCCAAGAGGTGACTAGACTAGGGGTGAGGAGGAGACGAGTTTTGGTTCAACAAACATACCCGGCCAGGCACAGTGGCTCACGCCTGTAATCCCAGCACTTAGGGAGGCTGAGGCGGGTGGATCATGAGGTCAGGAGTTCAAGACCAGCCTGGCCAAGATGATGAAACCCTGTCTCTACTAAAAATACAAAAATTAGCCGGGCATGGTGACGGGTGCCTGTAATCCCAGCTACTCGGGAAGCTGAGGCAGAGAATTGCTGGAACCCAGGAGGCGGAGGTTGCAGTAAGCCAAGATCGCGCCACTGCACTCTAGCCTGCGTGACAGAGCAAGACTCTGTCTAGAAACAAACAAACAAACAAAAACAAACATGCCCAAGGAGCTCCCGGTCTCCCTGTGCCAGTCCCTGGCATTGCTGGAGATAGAGAAATGATCTGGACACTCCCCTGTGCTTGAGGGGGTCTCAGGCTGAAGGGGGAGGCAGACCTGGACACAGTTACAATCCAGGGTGACTTCAGGATTCCTCTCCTACAAGGATCCCATCCTCTCTCTGCCTTAGGTGCCCAGGCCTATGGTCACAGCCTTCATCTCCGATAATGACACCAATCTCCCCATCTCGGTGTCAGACACCCCCTCCCACCTCCCAGCCTCCCAGGGACTTTCTCCACTATACTTTATCTTATTATTTTAATTTTATTTTTTGAGACAGGATCTTGCTCTGTTGCCCAGGCTGGAGTGAAGTTGCACAGTCACCACTCACTGCAGGCTTGGCCTCCTGGGCTCAAGCCATCCTCCCACCTCAGCCTCCCGAGTGGCTGGGACTACAGGTGCCCACCACCACATCTGGCTAATTTTTAGTTTTTTGAAGAGACAAGGTCTTGCTATGTTGCCCAGGCTGGTCTCGAACTCCTGACCTGCTAAGCACCCCTACCTGCCCTGCCCCTCTCGGCCTGCACTGAGCTCAGCACGTAACAGCCCCGCCCTGGTTAGAACCAAACAGCCTCCGACCTGGGTGCTGGCGCCCAAGAAGCCTAAGGACATTGCCGCTAAGGCTTTTGTTTTGTTTTTAGACTGCCTCTCTCTCTGTTGTCCAGGCTGGAGTGCAGTGGCGTGATCTCAGCTCACTGCAACCTCCACCTCTCGGGTTCAAGTTTCTCCCACTTCAACCTCCCGATTAGCAGGAACTATTTGAAAAGGGTAGAAACTGAGGCTCCGAGAGGTGACAAGGATTATCTGGGCCTCGAGATGGCGCTGCTGAGGGAATGAAGAGGACAACACAGCTGGAATGAGAGCCAGAGAGGCCGCAGTTAGACACGAAGTCTCAGCAGCCTGGGAATGGACGGCAGAGGCGCACTGCTCCCTCCTACCCAGAGGACCTCGAGGCTGTTAGTCCCAGGTCCGCGGCGGACGAATGTCCCAGTTGACCTCAAATACCTCTCAGATCCTTCCTCCCTCCATTTTCTCTCCTCTCCTCTCTCCTCTCTTCTCCTTTCCTTCTTTTTTTTTTTTTTTTTTTTGAGTCTGGAGTCTTTGTCACTCAGGCTGGAGTGCAGTGGCGTGATTTCGGCTCACTGCAACCTCCGCCTCCCGGATTCAAGCGATTCCCCTGCCTCAGCCTCCCAAGTAGCTGGGACTACAGGTGTGCACCACCACACCTGGCTAATTTTTCGTATTTTAATAGAGACGGGGTTTCACCATGTTGGCCAGGCTGGTCTCAAACTCCTGACCTCAAGTGATCCGCCCTCTTCGGCCTCCCAAAGTGCTGGGATTACAGGTGTGAGCCACCGCACCCGGCCTCCACCAGGGGCTTACTCGGAGCTTGGATCCAGAATTTGCAACAGTATGTTTTCTCCCCACTCTGCAAAATGATCGTTTTGTCATTTCTTCCTGCTCTGTGCTACACCTCACCCTCTCTTTTCAGCTGTGGCCCTCCCTTGTCACTCAAAGAAGCCATTGGTGTAAGAAGCTCCACCTTCCCCACCATGCATCCAGGCAACGAACCCACATCTCTATCCTACATCCCGCCTCTGCTCTGGGTATCTTGGCAACCGTCCCTGCTCCAGGCCTGGGCCTGCCCTTCTGCTGGTGCGCGAGCTCACCCCCCCCCACCCACTCAACAGGCAAGGCCTTGGCTCCTATCAGCCCTGCTGTCTATGGAATCGCTAATTTCTCCCCTCCTATCCTGGGTTGAATGACGTTCCACAAAAATTACGCCCATCCAGAACAGCAGAACGTTACCTTATTTGGAAATGGGGTGTTTCCTGATGTAATTAGCTAAGATGAAATCCTACTGGATTAGGGCAAGTCCTAAATCCAGAGACTGGTGTCCTTTTTTTGAGACAGAGTCTCACTCTGTCACCCAGGCTGGAGTGTAGTGCTGTGATTTCAGCTCACTGCAGCCTCTGCCTCCTGGGTTCAAGTGATTCTTGTGCCTCAGCTTCCCCAGTAGCTGGGATTACAGGTGTGCATCACCACGCCTCACTAATTTTTGTATTTTTAGTAGAGCTAGAGTTTCGCCATGTTGGCCAGGCTGGTCTCGAACTCCTGACCTCAAGTGAGCCTCCCGCCTCAGCCTCCCTGTCTCTACTAAAAATGCAAAAATTAGGCCGGGTACGGTGGCTCAAGCCTGTAATCCCAGGACTTTCGGAGGCCGAGACGGGCGGATCACAAGGTCAGGAGATCGAGACCATCCTGGCTAACTCCCGCTTCCAAGCATTCTCCGCCTCAGCCTCCTGGGAGTAGCTGGGATTACGTGGCGCGCATCCCACAAACCAGGCTAATTTTTTTGTTTTTAGTAGAATGGGTTTTCACCATGTTGGCCAGGCCTTGGGTCTCGAACTATCCTGAACCTCAGGTCATCCACCTCCCTGGCCTCGCCAAAGGTGCTGGCATTATAGTGTGAAGGCACTTGCCGCCCAGACCAGGCGAAATCTTTTAAGAGGATGAAACTAGGCAGATGCCACCGTTACCATGTGAGTATGGGCTGATGTGGTGTGTATGGCTGGAAGAAAGCCGAGCCCAGGGGCCCCAATTCTGATGAGAAGACAGCATCACGTCCTAGGGCATCCCTGCCAAAGCGCGTGACCTAAATCTAATTATGAAAGAAGCACCAGACAAACCAGGACCGAGGACATTCTGCCAAGTACATGGTCGGTCGTAATCTTCAGAACTTCCCAAGAGGAGACGGATAAAACCGGTTCCAGAATTGAAGGGAGCCCCCACAATGCGTGCTATTGTGTGACCTAGGATTTCCTGTGGGCCATTAAAGGACAGTATTGCCAGCCAGCCTGGTAATCGCAGCAACTTTTGGAGGCTGAAGTGGGAGGATGGCTTGGAGCCCAGGAGTTTGAGACCAGCCCAGGCAACACAGTGAGACCCCGTTTCTACAAAAAAAAGTTAAAAAATTAGCCGGGCATGGTGGCATGTGCTTTGTAATCCTGGCTACTCAGAAGACTGAAAGGGAAGATCGCTTGAGCCCAGGAGGTCGAGGCTGCAGTGAGCTATGATTGCACCAACTGGCACTCCAGCTCTGGTGGAACAGAGCACAGAACCCTGTCTCCAA